TTCTTCCATGATTTATTCCACGTACACGTACACGTCCGTGTCCACGTCCACGTCCGCGTCCACGTCCTTGTCTTGATATTGTATTTGCTTTAGACAATGTAGTACCATTTGCTTCAGGCAATGGTACAAAACCAGTTGGACGTAATCCATGATTTTTCATCAACAATTCATTGTTCAACAACTAGTAGACAAGATATAAGTTCTGAGTACTTTTTGAAGCCACGCTCACGATATTACTATTGTAGGAGCACATTCGAGGCATGAAAGGTGGATAAAGTTTTTTCAGCATATCTTCATCGGTGATTTTTTCTCCACACAAAGTCAACTTTGAACATATTCTAAACAATTCAGAATTGTACTCACTAACCGTTTTAAAGTCTTGCAAACGAAGGTGCATCCACTCATAACGGGCTTTGGAGAGGACTATAGTCTTCTGATAATCAAATCTTTCAGTTAACTTTTTCCAAAGAACTTGTGGGTCTTTCTCAGTGAGATATTCAATTTTTAATCCATCATGAAGATGGTGACGGAGGAAAATGAATGCTTTTGCACGATCCTGCAGGGATTCATTGTTTCCTTCTTTTATTATCTCTCCCAGACCTTTTGAGACGAGATGGATATCAGCATCCAGTATCCATGACAGATAATTTTTACCAGATATATCAAGTCCAGCAAACTCAAATTTCATAATGTTTGCTATTTGTTTAACTACACAATAAAAAAATACAATTAGTTTTGAAGAATATGATTAATCATCACATGTTAATCAAATAGTCAATATCAACATGACTTTAAGTTACGTATTTTCCTCTAGGGATAAACATTAATTTGAAATAATATGTTTTCCGAAACATATGCTACTTCCGGAGCACATTATATTTTGATATTATTTCTTCAAGTGCAACATGTCAATATTGTTTTGGAATTTTGAGAGTTATAATTTATGCTCTTTAGGAGCAAATAATATTCTTATAATATTGTGCTACTTTTGAAGCAACAACGAATAGATCTATGATTAATATTCTTCTGGAATATTAATTATAATATTGTGCTACTTCAGGAGCAACAACAATTAAAAATAAATTTAATGTAATGTTTCATAACTAAATATAAAAAAAATGATAATACATCTAATTGCTCACCATTAATTAATATACAAACACATATAAAATATTATTTTGAATTAATAACGTGAGTCGAGTGAAACAAAAAAAAAAATTGGTGACATGTAGAAACTTATTCACATATTATGGCACGAAATTTTAATTATGTGCAATTAAAAGAATTGAATTAGTATTAACTAATTAAGGCATGAAATTTGTAGAAACCAATGGATTTGAGAGAAAAGATGAGTTGAATACAGTTATTTGTTAATTGTATATTATATATATATGGAATCAACCAAAATAGAGATCTAGAATTGAAGTTTGCTTACAAAGAACATTGACCAATTAAATAAAAAAAATTATAAGTATGTGTAGAACGTAAATGGCTAATTTAAATATAAGGAGGGTATAGGAATATGAATTAATGCACATTAATTGATTTAACATAAATATATCTCCATAAAAATGCACTTGGATTGATGTAAAGGAAAAAAACATTAATTAATTCAAAGAGAGGTACAAAGAAAACATAATGATTGAGAAAGATGAGATCACATATTGCAGATTCAACATATGTATATGTAAAATTCACGTATTATCAAATTAATTTTGATATACGTGATAGATGATTATGAAAAAAAATTACTATTTTCTAAGAGTTTCGTGCTGATAACGTGTTATAAAATGAGAGGAAAAGAAAATAGAGAAAACTCAAAGAGAATAGAGAAAACTCAATAAACTTTTTGTGTGTATTATTGAAAACCAAAGCCCTATATTTAGAGGTAAGAATCAGATATATAATGGTAATAATTTCTAGAGCTACAGGGGTACAAATGTCATTCACCAATAAACTTTAATGGATTTTCCATTTACAACAATAGCTTAGATTTCTATTTACTTCATTTTTATAGGAAATATTTTATATCAATTTGATTTCTTCGTTTTTCAGGGAGAAATTAAAAGTAAAAAAATATAGTTAAGATATGAAATCACTCTGTACAAAAACATAAAAATATATTACTTAAAATTAAAAAGTTTATCTTTGTCTAAATTAAAATTTAAAAACAAAAATATATAGATCATAAAGAAAGAAGGGCTAGGTTTTCGAAATTTTTAAAAGGGGATGGAGGTCTTAATATATATTGTCATAAACCTCAAGCAACGATCATCTTATTTACTCAAATATGAACTATTAACAAATACATAAGGGTTTGGACTATTGTTCTTAAAAATATTAACTATTTAATATTTTAAAAAGAAATGCAAATCTTAATGGAAAGTCCATATAATAATTTATCATAGCATATTTCATCTTGTTAGGACATTAATAAAACTTGTTTGAATTGATTTTACTTCATATTTTGGTTAAAATGACATAATGAGCAATTCCTTGATTCGCTGTAGGATTTTCATTCAAAGAAATATTATGAACTCGGAAATGAAGAAAAATTAAACCGTGAACTGTAGAAATATTTTAAAAATTTGTTAAATTATATAAAATTTCTCACTGTTCAAATCCTCAAGTATCACATGAAAATATATTCTGGTTTCACTGTAATATTTTAATTACTTTTGTGAAAATCGTAAAGAAAATAAATTTATGAATGCCGGACAATTTTTTTTCTCTAAATGGAGTACATAAAGAGAGAAAATTTTGGCAAAAAAAGAAAAAAAAAAAAAAAGAGAAAATTATTGTCCAGATATAGAGATCGCATGATGAATTTTGACCTAATTTTCCTCAAAAATTGGCTGCTTCAAAGATAATTGAATTGAAAAGTTTTTGTTATAAGGATTGACCAATTTAACCAACCAATTTCACCATAAGAAATCAATCCCTTCCTTTAATTCTTTGACACGTTTGTGAGAAAAATATTTCGACAGTTCACCCTTTGGACAAAAATAAAAATAAAAATTATTGATTATAAATTAAACTATTCAAATATTAACATGCATTTTGAACTCAAAAATTGAGTTCTATCATATTATAACTTCTCTCTATTATTCTAATGTAGATTTTAGGTAATTTAATTTATTAGGGAAAAGGAAAAAAAAATTTCACTTTATTAACCAAAATTTAATTTTACATAATTGTTATCTCTCTCTCTCTCTCTCTCTCTCTCTCTCTCTCTCTCTCTCTCTCTTATATATATATATGAAATTGTCGAGAATTTTCGTACTACATATGCTGGATCAAGATCGGGGGCGAGCTAGGAATAGAAATATAATACACATTTCTTTTATTGTCTAATGGTCGCATTGCAAGTCAAGAGTCACCCTTCTAATTATGAGTCTTCCCAGTCAATGGTCAAACGTGTCAAATTTTGCTCTCTTTCATGTATATTGTATTGAAAACAAAAGGAAATTTCATTAAATCCCTATGCTTTCATGGTTTATTTAGAATTTATTTGACCATAGATCATTTTTACGGACACAGGAACATTCATTCGACCGTAGATGAGTATTTTTTTTTTTTTTTAAACTAAGATTTTAAAATTTATCCATGACATATATATTCTCTTTTTGTGTAAGCACTTGAATGTAAAATTGTTAATGAATATTTTGTTCTTTTTAAGACAATTTATTAAGCTAAAATCATTTTATTACTAGTGAATAAAATATAAAACAAAATTTCAGAGGCAATATTTGGTTTTACCTCATGTTAATGGAAATTACAATATGGAAATGTTAACTATTTTCTAACAAACTAGTAGTTAAAGTTAAAAAGGAAAAATAATATTAAATTTAGTGTACCGTCGACATATTTCGCATCACCATGTGATTAATGATAAACTTTGTCAACTCTTCATATTCATCTTCACTATCGTTTCAAATTAAAGCTAATAGGTCCAAAACCAGTGTTCGGAAAATCACACCCGACACCTCTCTTCTATATCTCAATATGTATACCCAATACATCATCCATATAGTCCTGTGCAATCCAAACAAAGTTGCTTATACATGTCCTGATTGACAGGTTCTTGTCCTCGTAGCAATGGAAGGTGGATACTTTTAAGATTCACGGTGTATTTTTCAAGCTTCATATTGTTTATATCGCCTTGAATTCGATCTTTTATGATATTTTACCATTTTATGACAATTTAAGAGTGCATTCCATATGGTGTTGGAATTAGTGGTGTCGAGACCCTCACATAAGTATGACTTGGGTTAAGAAAGGTCGAAGAAAGTCCATGTAAGGACTTGGGTTAAACCAAACAAGCTCGAGTCTCCTCTTTCTAGGAGGTTCGTCTCAACTTGCAAGACTGGTAGAGCCGGGTCTAAGGGACTATTTTCATAGAGTTCGCCTTGGGCTCGGATTATGAACATGAACCAATGGTTTTAAAAGGCACGTTAGCTTATGAACTAATTCATAACAAATAAATCTAGTTCAGAATAACTAATCCGACTAATTTTAACACTAGTATCACCGCAATCGAATTGCCACCACTTCATAAAAATATACATACTCATAAAACAAATAAAAACTCTTTCTTTATTACAATATTTCCAATCATGAGGCAAAAACTTATTAGAATCCTACACATGACAAAACTTCGAATCAAATAATTTTTTTCTCAAGCTGTACAAGAAGAAAATTTCCTATACATTCTTGGCGGTATTATTCAGCAAGATGTGTAATTTTCTGCTGCTTTCAAGTTGCTATTTCTGCTTCAAAACTACAATAAACTTCGAAGTCATTAATTAATGTGACGTGGTTGTTCAATCGAAATTTCAAAGATCAAACACACCGTAAAGCAATTTGGTCAAAGTGAAAAAGTGAGGAAATAGTTCCACAATTAGTGAAGTGGTCAAATTGGATGCCGCGTTCGGGAATTCCCGATCTTCTATATAAATATACATGCTCATTAATGAAGTTCCATCAAATCACCTCATATACACACAAAATACAATATATAAATATACACAGAAATTTCGCACTAATATTCTATATTTGCAAGCATGCAATCCGTTTTTGCCTCGGGGAGAATGAAAAGCACCGGTTTCACCTCTGTATGCCGCCAGCCGAAGCGCATAATACTGGTTCGCCATGGGGAGAGTGAAGGAAATCAAGATGAAGAAGTTCTTGAATATATACCTAATTATAAAATCAAATTAAGCAATAAAGGGATTGAGCAGGCTCAAAACGTTGGTTCCCAGATCAAGAAAGTGGTATCAGAATATGGAGAATCGGAAAATTGGAAGGTCTTGTTTTACGTGTCTCCATCTGAGCGCACTAAGCAGACACTGGAAACGATAATCGGGGAGGAATTTCCAGAGGAAAAAGTGATTGGATTGAAGGAAGAATGCAGGCTGAGAGAACAGCATTTTGGGAATTTCCAGGAGCTGGAGAAAAGGAAGAAGATAAAGCGAACCAGAAACAGGTACGGGAAATTCTTCTACCGGGTGCCTGACGGGGAATCCAGCGCCGACGTTTATGACAGGGTTTCTAGTAAGTTCCTCCATTCTCATCATAAACATAAAAAAATACGTATTTTTCTCATTTTCTCATTAAGTCGCTTTATCTAAAAGTTTGATTTATTGAGGAAAATTTGTCTTTGATACCATTCTTTGAGTGTAGCCCACAGTCGTGGCAGCGAGATTAGTGGGTCTTTGATCACATTTAATTATATGGTTAAAAGTTCAACCCAAAAACCAAAAGACATGCACTAACATCAAGTTTTTCACATCCAGGTTTTCTTGAAACTCTATGGAGGGAAATGGAAACAAACAGGCTAAACAACAGCGACCCTTCAGAGGAACTGAATCTGATAATTGTTTCCCATGGATTAACCATTCTTCTGTTTCTCATGAAATGGTTCAATTGGACTGTTGAGCAATTTGAGGGACTCAAAAATCCACAAAATTGTGAATACAGAGTTCTGCAATTAGGTTGCAATGGAGAATACAGTCTGGCTATTCATCACAAATTGGAAGAACTGCATGCATGGGGGCTGTCTGAAGACATGATTCGGGACCAAATATTTCGGGCTTATGGCACCAAAGATAACCTCAAGAACACAAAACTTTTGCCAAAAGCTGATGCTTTTTTGGAGGATCAAGAAAATTCAGACAAATTCCTTGAAGAAAATTGCACAAAAAATAACCTGAAGAACAACAAAGATTTGCCAAAATCTTGTTTTTTTTGAGGATAAAGAAAAACCCATCTGACGAATTTCTTGAAGAAAATGGCAGCAAAACTAAACGTAAACCAGTATATTAACCAGAATGCCTGATTTTTATCTGCTAGAAATTAATTTGTTGATTTCTAATCATTTAAGAATAATTCTATATTTATGCATATTTAAATTTTTTTATTGAATTTATGTCTGAAAAATAAACTTTAGGACACTAAAGATCTATCATTTGCTTTGTACCAATTTTTCAATTCATGTATTTGATCTTGTGCTTTTCAAAGATACGCACTCTTGTGATAATTTTACTTTGTTTACAACTATGGACTTTAAGTTATTGTTCTTTGTTGTTATTGCAGTTGCTGGTTTTCTTTTCTATTGTACGATAATAATTGCATGTGTAGGTGCAATTTAGTACACAATCCTTTTTCCCTGACGTTGCATTTTGCAAGTATTAGCCTTAACACACACACACACACACACACAAAATCCAAGCCTGTTTAGGATCGCCACTTATGAACAATAACTTGAAATCTATTTTGCTCAAAGTCACTTTGAAATAAATATTGAGTAGCGCTCTGATAGAATTTAAGTTCAAATGAACAATTGAATTTGGTTCAACTAAAATGCTAATTAAAATTTAAGTTAAAATGAACAATTAAATTTTAATCACACTTTTCATGATATCTACAACTTTTTAATTACATATTTAATGAACTTTTATCTAAATTTACTAAAAAATTGATTTTTAATTAAACCAAACAGAGGAATGAGAGCATCTCTACTGCTACGATAATATGATAAATCAATTAATTACTGTATCATTTAATTCATGAAACCTATTGTGAACTTATTCACTAATTAATTGATGTATCGTGTCATTGTAGATTAAGAAACGGTGCTTAGTAGATCATTTATCTTTTAAAAGACTCAAAGATAAAATGTTCTTTATTTTAAAGAGTTAATCATTGAAATTAAGCTCCAATGTGCTCTCTTTATTTTTTATTTTATATTAATTGTACTTATTGAATTACAAGTTTCAATGCTCAACTTTGAATATTCTGGTGAATAAATAATATTATTCAATTGATTTTTTTTTTTAAAAAGATGGCTAAAATAATAATGGTTTATTGAAAAAAAAGTAAAATAAAGAGTTAAAAAGTATAGGGTAGAAGTTAATACAATTTTGGAAATTAAAATTTATTTAGGAAAACCTTTATTGGTCAATACTTACGAAGCATGGTTATGAAACCCTAATACACCCTATGGATGACAATTGACAAGTATTAATTGCACTACTTACACCTGTGTGACACAAAACTCGTTTTGTATGCTCGCACGTGAGTCAGAAAGTAACCAGTAAACCGGTTAATCCCTATTTGGTCCACATTTTTTTTTAATTTTTTTTTCGAATTTATTTTAAGTAACACATTTCATATAATTTATAACTTTTATCAACATTTCAATCACATATTACACCAACTTTTATCAAATTTGACTAAAAATCTAAATTTTATCCAAACCAAACAGGGTCTTGACAAACTCCCTCACATTTCAAGCAAGGTTTATGGTATATTCTGTGCAATTAAAATGGAACGTAAATGACTAGATACTATAGTGCTCCAATTAAAATCTGGTTGTAACGTTCAGCTACCACTGGATCGAACAGTCAACTGTGGTATGTACGAGTCAAGATTATTCTTAGTGAACCAAATCAAATATCGTGTTCCTCCCATATCTTCCATGATGTCCAAAAAGTATGTCTAATCGACTGAGTTTATTGTGAACAACGATTAGTTTAGTAACATGGTTGCTGTAAGTGCTAGTGCATATATATGCCTTCGTTTGTTAATCATTTTATCATATTATTTTTTCTACAGTACTCATTTTTAACCACACATTCTTCATTTCTAACCATACATTTCAACATCAATCATTATTCCATAATACACTTTTTGAAATTAAAGGAGCACAAACAGGCCCTATATATCGTGTAAAATGGGATGAGAATGAAGTCAGTCTCGAAAAGAAGAGATTGATGAGAATGAGGTCGAGTCTCAACGTACTCATGTTGAAGAAGAAACCAAGCGTTTTGTCACAAATTTGGGAAGCAAGTCCAACGAATTATTTTCCATGTGCAATAAGATTGGACTGCAAAATGATAAAATTTTAACATATTTTCTTTATTAATACTATACGGTATCATCCACCATAGCTTATCAAATATCGCATTTTAGTCAAATTTCATTTGGTAGAAGAAAAACTACATTTTAATTGTTTGTCTTGTAAAATGTACTATGATATAGGAAGTTGAAATGTTAACATAGATCCCAAGAAAAAGGAAGATGGCAGCGTACGTAAAAGAATAGAGACCTGCCAAAAGAAAGTAAAACTTCTTTCTCCTAAACACCCTTGCAAATATTTGAGCATATGAGAAATTCTATTAGCATTGATCTATAATAAATATTAATAAATAAATTTCTTCAAGACTCGATGCCACTTGAAAATTACAAGAATGAATTATTGACAGGAGAGAAAATATAAAGAAGCCTTGGAAGCTTCTCGTTAAAAGAAAAAGGAAAAATTATCCAAAACCCTACATATAAAGTATACTATTCAAAAATAAGGGATTTTAATTTTATTTTCAAAAATCAAGTGATAATGAAAATTAATTAAATCAATTAATATATATTTAAATCATGTGCAACCATACATTCCAACCCCACACGTCCCACCCACTCTACCCTATTACTTAAATTGAAATATTTCCAAATCAATTCATTTTCTGGCCATTGAAGTTTCTCTCTCTGCGAATATAAATTCTCTCCCCCCCACCCCACCCCACCCCACCCCTAGCTTCAACACATCGTTCTCATGGACCTCAAGATGCGAACAATGGACAATGTCAGATTAGGGCCGTACAAGCAGCTCCAACTCCTCTGCGCTGCTTCTGCTTTGGGGTGATTTCTTGAGATGGTGGTTGGAGTGTAGAGGGTGTGATTGATTCAAAGTGGAGGTGGAAATGATGGTATAGTGATTGTTGTTGTGGATTTGAAGTCAATGTAGTATTTACGTTTGTAGATTTGAATTGAAGGTGGTAGTTGTGGTGCATTAAAGGTGATGGTAGTGGTAATTGGTGTTGGTATGCAGTGTGTGCAAATTTGTTTGTAGTGACATTATATGACCAAGTCTATGTTAATTGTGATCAATTGTGACCACATTTATCTTTATTGTGACTATCAGTGACCAGATTTGTCTTAACCGTTATTGTATGTGACCTAATTAATAATAGTCACATACAATTACAATTAGTCACATCAAAAATAAATTTGGTCACATTTAATTACAGGTAACATAGGTCAGTGAATTAGTTACATACAGTTACAAATTAGACGTTACATACAGTCACAGCGAAAGCAAATTTGATCACAAATAGTCACATGAAACACAGGTATAGTCATGAACAATAAATCTGTTCACAAATAAATTTTTGGATATTTTTCTACAGTGAAGTGTATATAGAAAAATTGTTTTCAATTTTTGGAGAATTTATCTTTATTGTGACTATCAGTGACCAGATTTGTCTTAACCGTTATTGTATGTGACCTAATTAATAATAGTCACATACAATTACAATTAGTCACATTAAAAATAAATTTGGTCACATTTAATTACAGGTAACATAGGTCAGTGAATTAGTTACATACAGTTACAAATTAGACGTTACATACAGTCACAGCTAAAGCAAATTTGATCACAAATAGTCACATGAAACACAGGTATAGTCATCAACAATAAATCTGTTCACAAATAAATTTTTGGATATTTTTCTACAGTGAAGTGTATATAGAAAAATTGTTTTCAATTTTTGGAGATTTTTCTATCCTGGAGTTAGAGCAGTTGTCGGAGCGATCATTAAAGAGGTCGTCAGAGTATTCACCAGAGTCGATGGCCGCCTCCATGGAGAGAAAGGGTAAGGAGAGGATAGAAAGTAGAGAGAGAAAGAGAAGGGTTTGGAATTGAAATTTGGTGTGATTAATTATATTATATTATAATTAAAAATTTAATAAATTGATTTATCACATGATTTTTGAAAAGTTTTATAAAGTTAGTTTTGAAATGTGTTTCTTATACGTAGAATTTATGTATTGTTCCCAAAGAACAATGCAAAAACTCAGTTAAACACAGCCCTCCTGGAGGCAAAATTAACCTCATTTCTTGAATTTAAATTTCTAAACTTATTTAGAATCCATTTTGCACAATTTTTGTTTATGCTTATGCTTTTTGTTAAAGAGCTGCTTAAGTCAATTTCTTCTAAAAGCTCTTCTAGTAAAAATAAATAAATAAACAAACATTTCTAGAAAACTATTCTCACATTTCAAAAGTCGCTTCTTAATCTCAAAAGCAAATTTTGACTTTTGAAAAGTTGTGCCGAATAAATCCTAATTGTGCCAAATGAATCCTAACTATTTTTAGTTAGCTTATGTTTGATACAAATTAAAATCTAGATTTTATATCGCTTCTTAGTCTCGAAGGCATCTTTTAACTTTTAAAAAGTCATGCCAAATGAATCCTAACGCTATTCTAATTAGCTTCTATTTGGTAGAATTTGAAATTTAAATTTTAATCTAAATCAAAGTCAACAATTAATTTTAACCACACATTTTATAAGATAGAATTTTTCAAACAACACATTTCATCAACTTTTATCAAAATCTACTAAAAATATTATATTAATCCCCACCAAACAAAAGCTAGATATAAACTTTTAAGTAGGTGAATGAAAGTAAGAAATTCAAAATGAGGAAACTTGGAACTCGGCAAAATTATATATTCAAACACCTAATATACACTAAATTATTGGGTTCTTATCAATGTAAACTTTGCTAATTTTTCTCTCTTTTGTATCTTTCAATCTTTCCAT